AACTCCATCAATGATGACTGTATCGAGACCTACCTGATGAAGAGTGAACGCAAGTTCTTCAACATGTACAACGACGCGCAGCTTAAGAAGCACATTGAAGACCGACCCATGACCTCGCCCAAATCCGAGAACTTTGTCCAGGACACCTCGTACAACCGTGTCTCAGACGCAGGGCCGAACTCCAACGAAGATGAGATTGACCGATGGCTCGCTCGTTTGGGGTACAGCCGTCCGATGTTCCTACAGCGATTCATGAGGCGGCGCATTGGAAATTGGCCGATTTACGCTCTCTTCCTTGGTCTTGGGCAGATTATCGCGACGAACTCCTCGCAAATGACCTTGTTGGCCGGTCAGGTTGGTGAAACAGCCACCAAGGTATATATTATTGCCGCGATTTACTGTATTTCTTCGATCTGCTGGTGGTTCCTGTACTACACTGTTCCTTCGGTAATCGTCCTCAGTCTTCCCTGGTTTATCTACTGTATGGCTTTCGTGGTCATGGGCATTTCGCCGTTTGGTGCCTCTACTCTCGGTCGCGCATGGGCTCAAAATGTGGCTGCTGGTGTGTATGCTGCTGCGTCCTCCAGCGGCTCGCTCTTCTTCGCCCTCAACTTTGGTGATCAGGGTGCAGTCCCCGTCAAGGATTGGATGTTCCGTGCCGCTATGATCCAGGGTATTCAGCAAATCTACACCGTCGCCCTCTGGTACTGGAGTCAAAGGGTCACAACGGTCGAGGTCGCCGGCGTTTCTACTCTCGCTCTGAATACCTGGCGCCTGACTGCAGTGGTGATGCCCATTGCCGCTGTGTGCTTCGTGATCGGTGTTCTTCTTGCTCTGGGTCTGCCAAAGTACTACCGTCAGGCACCGAGCCGTATCCTCGACTTCTACACTTCGCTCCTCCGGCGCCGCATCGTCCTCTGGTTCTTCTTTATGGTGATCATCCAGAACTGGTTCCTTGCCGCTGCCACTGGTCGCAATTGGTCCTTCCTGTGGTCCTCTAAGCATGCGAAGACATGGGAGGTTGTTATCCTTGTGATTGGGTTCTTTATCGTGCTCTGGATTGCTATAATGCTTTTCTTCCGCTACCTGGGCAAGGAGCATACCTGGGCACTCCCTGTCTTCGGATTGAGCTTGGGTGCTCCCCGCTGGGCCCAAATTTGGTGGGGAACCTCGAATATCGGGCAGTACCTTCCTTGGGCTGGCAGTCTTACCTCTGGTGCGCTTGTTTCGCGAGCCATCTGGCTTTGGCTGGGTGTTCTCGACGAGATACAGCAAGTCGGACTTGGTATGATCCTCCTGCAAACGTTGACCAGAGTCCACGTTTGTTTTGTGCTCTTGGCCGCACAGGCCTTTGGCTCCATCGCTACGATGGCCGCGCGTGGGTTTGCCCCGAACAAGGTTGGACCAGGTGGTATTTCGCCCGATGTGGGCACCAGTGTTGACAAGGTTGGGAACGCCTGGTTCTGGATCTCGCTTTTCTTCCAACTTCTGGCAGCGTAAGTTTTTGCCCTCGTCTTCAATCGTTGCGTATAGTTATACTAACGTGGTTTATAGCTGGGGATTCTTCTTCTTCTACCGAAAGGAACAGCTCAACAGGCCTTGATGTGATCATGACTTGTGTTTAATCTTGTTATTGCATATACCATGCATATATATATCATCTCATTTGCATCTATAGAAAGCCTGTATAGACCCGTTTGGTCTTTTCTTTTTGTCTGTGGATTCCGCAGTGTTTCTAGCGTTTTGGGTATGATAGAGTGTGCTTGCTGTATATACTCATGAGTAAATAGTTTTGGAGAGGTAGCTGTTGTTGTGTGGTGGTACATATACCAGTTCTCACGTCCAGTCTTCTTCCCTCAGGTTGAGCGTATCCCATGATAGGTAGTATTCTCCCATATTCTTTTTTTTTCTTTTCACTGCATAATCGTAGCAGTAGCAGTTAGGGCTACCGGCCGGCCATGGCCACCGAGAAAAATCTCACGCTACGCCTCACACCTCCCGAGTTCCCGAGAACCGGGGTCACGAATAGAATTTGTACACGACAGAAGAAATGCGACTCATGGATTTGAATTTGTGGATCGGAGTGACATGCCGAATAGTTTGGTTGGCTCATGGATAAGGTTGTCTGGCCGGGTGTTTCACTTCCGGATGGGATAGAACGGACATTCCGAATCCGGTGATACTACTGTATCTGTCCCTGTCCCTGTGCCTGGGCCTGGGCCTGTGCCTGTGCCGCTAACCTGTGCCCGCAGTGATGCGGTGCGTCACTGTCTCAATTATGGCCGTCTGCGGCGGGTTTCATTCCCTTTATAGATTTTCTTATTTTTGTTATTCTTGACATTTCTTTTTTGAAGACTTCGTCTATCGCTTGGGTATCAACTAGGCTATTATCTGTCGTGGTATTGACATGGAGGAGGGAGTTGTTCGAGGGTAGGTGCGATATTGTTTCGACTCGGATGTTTAGAACTTTAGTTATTGTGGGCGACCGGTGTCGTGTTCACTGGATGTACAGTACGGTACCCTATTTGCTTGCCCTGCGATGCTGAAGTTCCTACTTCCCGAGTCTTTTTCGGATCAGGAATAGTCGATATTCACATTTCTACATACGGTCGGTGTGAATGGTTTCCTCCCTTCCGGTCCCGTCCGTCCCCCTTACAAACTCATCTTCCCCCTCGTCTCGACGGGAACCCCCAGAACCAGCAAGCCGGCGAGGACGAACATGCCGCCGCTGATGTAGACGGGGACGCTGGTCTGGATGCCGGCGACGATGGCGATGACGGGGGCCAGGATGCCGCCAATGCGGTTGGCGCCGCCGACGAGGGCGTTGCCGGTGCCGCGGTACTGGGTCTCGAAGATCTCCGGGGTGTAGGCGTAAAGCACGGCGTACAGCAGGCTGCTGGTGAAGCTGTAGGCGCAGTTCCAGCCCAGCAGCGCGGCCGAGGAGCCCGCCGTGGTCGACGCCAGCAGGAAGGCCCCCGTGCAGCAGGCGCCCACCGCCAGCGTGCCCTTGCGGCCTAGCCGCGGGATCTCCACCATGATTCCCCCGACCAAACTGCCGGGCACCCCGACGGCGCTGATGATAAGTGAGTTGCGGTAGGTGAGGTACGTGCTGCCGTCGCCGAATTGCACCCCCCGGGTTTGTTGGAGGTAGGGGAGGAAGGCGTTGTAGAGCGGGAAGCCTAGGCCGATCAGCGCCCAGATTAGGATCATGAGGATCGTGGTGCGCGCGCGTTGGCGTGAGGCGAAGAGCGCTTTGAGGGAGGTTAGGCTTAGGAGGGAGAGGCGCGCGCGGAGGTGGTCGGCTAGGCGGAGCGGGTGGTGCTGGTGCTGGTGCTGGTGCTGGGGTTGCTGTTGTTGGGGTTGCTGTTGTTGGGGTTGCTGCTGGATGGGGGCTGCGTTGTCATTGTTGTCGCTGCTGAAGAGAGAGTGGTCTTCTCCGTCTTCGTCGGTGAGGTCGTCGATGGAGAGGGTGGTCGTCTTGCCGTTGCGCCGGGCCACTTCGTGAATCACCGTCACGGATTCCTCGTACAGGCCCTTGCCCATGAGGTATTTGGGGGACTCGTAGAGGGTGAAGAAGACGCAGCGCGCGATGCACATGACGAGCGCGATGCCGCCCATTGTGAGCAGGAAGTAGCGCCAGCCCATGTTGGCGGATTTGGTGCAGTTGGCGGCCGAGGCGCACGTCATGTTGCCGATCAGCGGCCAAGCGACGAGGTTGGCGAGGACTTGCGCCAGCGCCCAGTTCAACGAGAGCACGGTCAGCAGGTACTGATGCGAGCCCGGCAGGAATTCGAGGAAGATGGCCGAATCGACGGGCAGGTTGCCGCCCACGCCGAAGGACCATAGGGCTGTGAAGACCCCGACCGCCGCGAAGGTGGGCGACCCCGCGGCGATCAGCCCGAAGATGGCCGTGATGGCGATGGTCATGTTGAAGGCCCATCGGCGGCCGAAAACATCGCAGGTGAAGCCCCAGAAAAGCGAGCCCGCCAGCAGTCCGATGTTCTGGGCTAGCGATAGTAACGGCGGCTGCGCGACGTGGAATTCGTAGGAGACGGGCACCAGGATTAGCGAGGTCACGATGGGCCAGAGGTTGTCGCTGGCCCAGCCAAAGCCGATCACCCCGAACAGCTGCCATTGATACCGTCCCATGCCGATCTCTTGGATGGCACGGTTCAGCCGGTCCGCCTTGAAGCGATAGTCGGATGCTGCGGCATCATCGGGATAGGATGACTGCTCGGATAGTGGACTGGTGGATTGTAAGGGCTGTGACTCGCTGGGCTTGGAGGAGAGTGTGGTCATGGTCATTGATGTGATTAAAGATGTGTTGGAGAAATTGAGGTCTGAATGAGGGGAGGATGAAAATTAATTGAGTCTTGAGATATACTTCGGTCGGTCGGTCGGTCGGCGGAGAGGATGCGGGGATTCCCCATTGGGCTTATTATCGTCGCAGCTTCCACTTTCACCTCTTCACCACTTCATCACTTCACCATTTCCTCAATTTCTTCTAGACAGATGTATGTGTAATTACCACAGTCTAAGTGTCAATCAGAACTTGCGAGAAGAGCGAGAGGAGGAGAGAGAGAGAGAGAGAGAAAGATAATGCGAGGGAAAGGGAATAAAAAGTTAAGTAAGCGAGAATCGACAAGGAAGGGATGACGCGATCGGACAATGAATGGCTGATAAACCGACGACTGCAGCTCGCATGAGTCCCTCAAACTTCCTCCTGCCCAGTCCTGCGTGAAAGAATTCTCGAGATACGAAGGAGGATCTTCCTTGTGATTCATATAACATACATACTGACTAACAAACACCTAAGGAAATCGTGAGGTAACAATTACCAGGCTGATCCATGATCTCAACGACTCAATGATCTCAACGATTTACAATGATCTCCCCTCCTCCTCCTCCTCCTCCTCCTCCTCCTCCTCCTCCTTCTCCTCCTGCCGACATTCCTTCCACTGCGACGGTGACACATCAATCCCACCTTGCTTTCACGCCTATTAGCCTGCCAAGGCACTGTATGGGGTCAACCCGGGATAAAACGAGGTCGGGATGGTCGGAATAGGAATGGAAGCAGTGAGGCCAAATGCGGTCGTCAAGTCGGCTGCCATGGTTGTTGCCGAGTACCCTGATGGAGCTGCCGTGACAGTGCTGGTCGTGGTGTAGGATGTGTGCGAAGAGCTGTCCTTCAGACAGTATCCCGATCCGTAAGCGGAACGGCACAGGTACAATTCACTCGAGCCGCTTTCGGTCCAAATGGCGATATCTTCCAGCGTCAGGTCCGTGCAAGGCGCCGTGTCACTACACACAACTCGGATCGGTGGTCGGGTCGCTCCATTCGCCTCGGTGCCCTTCCAGTTCTTCACAGTGATGTTGTTCAGCTGCACCCCGTCCCCGTCCACCGCAGTCATGCTGCTCCAGTAGCCATCAATGTCGAGCGAGTACGCATTACCGTGCCCTAAACAAAAGGCATCAGTCGACACTTTCAAGTTGGAAAGGTGGGGCATAGGCAGCACTAACCGATGAAGTTTTCCAGCAGAACATTCGACACCGTTCCACTGCCACCATTGCTCTTGATCATGTACATCTGGTTCGACGACCAGGTATAAACATTGCGGTAGACAATGTCGGTGACGTCGGTGTCGGCCCCGAGCGATCCCATTGCGCAACCACCACTCCAGTTGCAATAAATACTCTCCACCAGAATATTGTTGGCAGGGCTCTGTGGTGCGTCTTCGGTCAGTCAAGGCTCGAGCGCGTCATATCATGCTTGCGAAAGAAAAGCCTTACCTTGACTGTTACACATTCATCCTTGTTGGTCACTTCAACCTATACGAATGCACATCTCGTGAGCGACCGAGAAGTAGCATATTGCCACTCGGGCCTGACTTACATCGTGAACCCAGATGTTGCTTCCCCAGACATCAATCCCGTCCAAGCCGCCCTCATTGCCACCACGAATCGCCATGTTGTACACCTCGCCATCGGAGCAGGTGTCCATGGTAAAGTGAAAAGCAGGCGCATCCACCAAGATAATATCGTGCACGGAGAAATGAGTCACGTCGGTCAAGCGCAGAATTCGTGCTCCGTAGGTACCCTCCGCATGGTACACATAGCCGAATCCCTGCACAGCACCTTTGGAGGTGCTACTGAACAGCTCGAAATCGGTGGTGTCAGTGACTGCAATCATGTTCCCACTCGCGGTACCTGTGCGGTAGATGATACCATCCAGCTGGATTGCGGTCGCGCTGCCCCCAGTCAGGGTGACCCAGGTGTTTAGGGCATAGTTGCCAGATGGGATGTAGACAAGACCTCCGCTTTTGCATGCAGCCCAGGCCGATGTGATGGCAGGCCCCACATCGGTCGAGTTGTCAGCCACTGCGCCGTAGCTGAGGATGTTGCATGTTTTTGTCGCACCTTTGGTGGAAGCGGAGGTCAACGGGCCAACACTGCCAGAGAGTTGACCGCTGACGAGCGCCGGGATAGCACCCAGAGCAAGAAGGAAAAGACCACGCATGACTGGCTTGGATCAATGGGAGCAACCTCGACTTGCTTGATACTTGGAATTCTTCTCAAGAACTTACGCAGCAAACGCAGCTTTTATATCGCAGTAAGGAGCGTTCATGGTGATTGTGGTCAGGGACTCATGTCCACCGGAGAATCTACAACGTACACTTATCCTCGACCCCCTCGAGCCGCTGGGAAATCAAGCAGGCTGAAGATTCTCCGTCCTGTCGGACGTTGATTGTGGCTTCCTACTCCGTGACATAAAGTGTCAGAACCCCTTTGGATGATGATCTCTACTGTTTTTGCTCAGAAGCCCAGTGGAGTGACCGGAGTCAAGCTTCCTCACAGAGGCTTCAAACCCCAAGCTCCTCCTTATTCATGGAGAATTCTGATTGATTATACCGCCACGCAAGCCAGTGTGTCAGCACTACTTGAGAATCCGTCTCGAGGCTTGAAGCGCTGATCACATCCCAGATTGATAGTGATTTCTGCGAAGGATTTAGTTCCAGGGGCGGCCAGGAGGTTCATCTCGGCAATTGTCAAGCAAGAACTCATCCCCCCAGCTAGATGCATCGCCTGACGACTTTGTGGGGTACGTGCGGCGGGGTGATGCGTGCAACAAGCAATCACCATAAAGCTTCTGCCCTGAAAATCCGGGTCGGTCTGATGCGAGCGGGAAAGAAGACATTGTTCAGGTGCAGCTGTCGGGTGAGTGAAGGCCGAGCATCCAGTGAGTTACGTGCCAGTTGGGTTCTTCGTGTTGCACCCAGCGCTCAGGCCCTACCAAGACGGCCCAGCATCACATTCGCGACGCCAAGATCGCTTGATATTCGACGCCTTGTGTCCCGCGATTTTATAAACGAGTAATACAAAATGTCGTCATTGTTCTCTTCAGGGGCACTCTGCCTACGATAGCTGCACTATCCCCGAGACTACCATATTATGAAGAGTCAAAATAGTCTTGAAGATAGGTAATCCTTGAAGAAAGGCAATCCAAATAGCAAGCTTTGACCAATCAGAGTCATCTCTTGGCTAGTTCCGATCCTAGCATCCCGCGCTCTAAGCCATGAAACGCTCGCTCAACGCCCTCTGGAATATCGACATGATCAATGAACCCTTTACCCCGTGGCCCATAGCCATTATCATCATCTCTCAGGCGCGGTATTTCACCCATCAGCAGTCCCAGAAAGCGAGGTATACTCCACAGCGAATCTGCAGGGATCCCATCTACATCGTACACCAGCTCATTATCCTCCTGCAACCGGACCCGCGGCACTATGATTGGCCAGCTTATGAAATCCGGGGTCAACGGCGCAAAGGCCTTGACGAATGAGGCAATCGTCCTTCGGGCCATGGTGGGATCCTGGACGATAATTACGGAATTGGGTGCCGGGATGGCATTCCTCTCCAGCAGGCGCCTGGTCTGTATCGCGTTCTGCCCGCAATTCGTGGACTGGTCCTCGACCAGCAGGTTGCCTCCAGCCTTCCGGAAGTCCGAGGCCACGGTCTCGAAACCTCGCGTGAAGATGGTGTGGAGCACTTGGGCTTCTGCCTTGCCTTGAGTCTCTGGGGCAAGATGCGCATATTTGGGGTGCTTGGACACCGCCTCATAAAGGTAAGGGGTGGAGTGGCCAGTCCCGCCGCAGAAGACGAGGGTCTGGGTGGCGTGCGGGTTGTGACCGAGGAATGTGAAGACCGCTTCAGCCTGGTGGAGGATGGCGGACACGCAGATCACAATGCAGTCGACTGCATGGGGGGGCGGCTGTGCTGCGGGGAGTTGCTCATGGGCGAGGAAGGTGGAAATCAGGTTGATGTTGTGGGGGTCAATGGATGACATTTTTTTTCTCTTCTTTCTGCTTGTTGTTCTCTTCTTGTGTTTGTTTGACTGGGATTAATGACTGCTTCTGACTGCTTCTGAATTTATTAAGATTCTTGTTCAAGGTTGTTTTCTATGATTGTAAACGGTAGATGAGACGGCAGACGGCACGGGTAGAATCAGCAGTGGAGAAAACCACAAACGGATGGCAGATGGAGCCGATCTCCGTCCCTCGGCATTGCCTAATTGGGAAAGTTTCTTGCTTACTGGATACCTATCGACTCATACTATCTACTGTACAAAACTTCCCTCTACTTATGTTTCTTGCATGATCATCCTTAATAACGCCTCACAACTGGCAAGCATACCATCAACATGAAGCGATTGCTCAAACTAGTCAAGAACCATCCAGCCTCAACCGCATCCGCTCTACGCGCCTCGGCAGCTCCTCCAACGTCAGGAACTGCCTCCATCGACAATTTACAGGGCGCATCTGTAGCAGCAGCAGAGCTATCTGATGTTCTTGGTGCCTCTCTCAAGGGCATTGACCTTGAAGGTGGCTACTTGACTCCAACCTGAGACAGCTTGCTCGTCGCTAATATCTATTGCTGGAAGATAATCTCTGTGCCCAGGCTCGGGCTCTGGCCACGCGCTTGGATGATGAGGCATCCAGATATGACAACGCGCAGCTGAGCCCTGAGCAATGTGACGAGAAGTGGACATGGTAAACCGGATCCCCTCTATTCTTGGTAAAAGGGCTTCAGCTAATGCACTTAAGCTCGCAAGATCAATCTCTTCTCATATCACTCGCATGGAACTGCGCGAATGAGTCCTACAACTCTGCTTCCATCCGCCTCCCACGCACAATCAAGAATTGTGTATTGACACATGACCATGAAGTTACGCCTTCTCTCAATGGAACAGTCAAGGCTGCTACTTTCACAACGGTTGATTTGCAGGAGATATCAAACGGAAATGAGCTTCTGCCTGTGTTGGTCATCGCGATCAGAGGAACTGCCAGTACTGTGGATCATATAGTCAACATCAACAGCAAGCCACAAGATGCGAGTCACTTCATTGTAAGTCAATGGTTCTGTCCTCACTTAAGGCGGTCATCATTCTGATGGCTGTCTCTATCAGAATCCTGCCTGTTTTGAGCTCGATGATCACTCGCCCCAGAGCAAGCTAGGGGCCCATTCCGGATTTCTGCATAGTGCAATGGCACTGGCAGCCATCGTCTCTGAAAGAATAAAAGCCTACAGTCGTCTCCATGCTGACACTGGCAGTCACATTCTCTTCACCGGTCACTCCGCAGGAGGTGCCGTAGCCTCACTATTGTTTCTCCACTATATCTCAGAGGAACTTCCCAAGAACGCAAGACGCTTCTCTTGCGTCACGTTTGGTGCCCCACCAGTAGTCACATTACCGTTGATGCATGGCATCAGGCATCAAAGACTGCCTACGAATTTATGCTTGAACCTCATCAACGAGTTCGACCTTGTCACTAGAGCAGATAAAAACTATGTCTTATCTCTTGTTAACCTACTACGGCCGCGAGATGATCCATCCCTTGTGGACGCAGAAGCGGATGCTGGATGCGAGCAAGCTTCTGGTTTATTCTCCGACTACGCTGAAGGTTGCTGGCCATTACCGCGCTCTCTTTACAGCCATGTTGGGCCCCGTATCGTTTTGTTTATGCGTTTGGGGAGTTCGCAGGAACACTCACCGCAGTTACGCGCTGCCTCCATCTCCCGGAACGAGTTTGACAGACTGCTCTTCTGTCGTCTTTCCGTTCATAAGCGAAAGTACTATGCGCAGACGGTGGGACAGCTTGTGGCTGGTCAGGCAAACGGGGTGATTGGGGAAGCATGATAATAAGAGCATGTCATCGCTTACAGAACCTCCTTTAAACAAAGCACGCATAATCGTTATGGGATCCAGGCAGCACGAAAGAATCGAAAGTGCCCTCCGAAAGAAAGGATGAGTGACGCCAGAAAAGCCTCTACCATCGTCGGCGAAGACGGCTACACACTAGAGTCTTGACAAGAACAAGGTTGTTTTCACATTTATCGAATCGAGCAGTACAATTAACCGCCGCGGGTTCCGAGGGTCAACTCGGAAGATTAGTTGATTTGGCAGATGGGGTCGCAATCTCAAAGTATACATTAATCAGCGGACTAATTCCGAATCCTTCTCGTTCGGCGACTCTGGGCATCCAGCCTCACTTTTGCACAGCCTCGGATACCCCGGGCTCTAAGCACGAGGCCGGTGCCTGGCCTTGGCGATTCTCGTATTTTCCAGCCTTGCACCCCCAGCAACAAACCTATTCCTCAGGCTGTAAAGGGGGGGGGCTCAGTTCCTCAATCGTGATATGATGTCTTGAGATTGTGGAGGAGCTGAGTTTCAACCTTACAATCCTCAATTTGGCACCTACTGGAATCCAAAAAAAACCCCCCATCCATGCAGCAGCCACCATGTCTTGCCTGAGTGGGATTCGCCTCAGGCACCATTTCGAGCGATCTTCGCTGCCGAACATCACTCATGCTCCCCGAGCCCTGTGGAAATTGGTAGGGCCTGCTAGCGCGCATTTGCAGTCTGAGCTTGAGACTCTGTACTGGTATGGCGTGAGGCTCGAGCTCGAAAATATCATACGCACTTTGAAAACCTGGCAGCAATCAGAGTATACAGATGTGGCAGTAGATGATGAGCATGACAACAATTTACACGGCTTTGACACATTTATGGATCAGGTTACTCAGGAGACACGAGCTTTTGCGATACGATATGGTAATGTGCTGGTCTGTCCACTACGATCAAGCTCGGGCTAACTTGTTCTGCCGATATAGGGGAAGAGAAAACTGCGAGGACAGCCGACCAGGACAAGATCTTGTCCTCTGTTATGAACGGCACAAAAATCAAGGAGGCTTTACGCAAAGCAAAACTCGCGCAGGTAGAATTTCAGAGCACTAACGTTGATGTTAAGGATGAAGTGCGAACGAACGCAGAAGGTTGTTTGTCATTGTCTGCTTCTCTCGCCCAAAGCTAATGAAGCTTTCTTAAGACATTGTATCATCTTCCGGTATCCAGGAGCGGGCACGTATCCTCCTACAAGCTGCGGGTGAGTCTAAAGGGTGCCAGCCTGAGAGTATCCCAATTGACCTTGAGCCTACGCAGGGCTCCTCGATATCGACAAACTGATTGAGCACCGTCCACCTTTAGAAGACCTTGGCTTCTGGGCTCGACCTGCCATTCCGCAACGTATGGACCGAATACCACATGATGTGTCAATCAGTACAATTACCTAACAAAACCTCTAGTCACTCTGTCTGGTTTTGATAGTGACTGGAATGCCCGACTTGAGCCTCTGAAATGCTCGGACTGCTCCAGTATCATTCGAGGTAGCATGTTTACCCATAGTGGCAAATCGAACCATGCAAAACAACTCACCGTCTGCGAGGACTGTTATCGAAAACTCTATCTTGGCAGAGAACAATATGTCAAAGCATACAAGCACTGCGTTCTCGCCGAAGCCATTACTCCTGCCCTGGGTCGGAATATATGTCATTGTGCAGACGTCTCTCGCCTCGACAGCACCGGATTTCCAGGTGCCCTGTTTCCAATTCCTAAGGGAGAAAGACATGTTGCAATTCCACTCGCGAAAAGATGCAAATTACTCCAACTCAACACTCGAGTCGCCCTCGCAAAATATCACGGTCTACAGTCTACAGTCCGTGATCATAGGAAGAAAGACAAAAAAATGACGAGATTCCGAGTCAAATCAAATATTACAGCTGCACAGGGGACATATGAGCCAGCCAGGAAAGTGAATTTGAGAGGAGAACCCAATTCGAAGCAGCCGCCCTTGCAACCACAACCAGAAAAGGAAGTCCCTTTCGCTCGTGACCAGGATGCAAACACTGCTTCAGTGAAGGAAGCCATGGCAGACGAAGATATACCGTTATTCTTTCGCCAATTTGCCCAACAATACCCTTTTGGCAATGTTCATATGGCCTTACGAGTTGGGCCCCTGGTCGTTGAAAATGGGGTCGCAAAGTAAGCATCGAACTATTTCATTACATATGCTTCTGAAAGACTTACTGATCAACAATGCAGCACCAAGCAAGGCGCCTTAGTCACTATTCGAGAACTATCTACCTTCCATGATAGGCCTGACTCCTGCAGTCCACGCTCTCGTCATCCTAGTTTAGCAATTGGTGGCGACGCTAAGAGACGCCTTTGGAAGCAGCAGCAGCGCCTCGTTGGAACTCCCAAACGATACAAAGCTATCATGAAACAGGTTGTCGGGGTACCCTTCACCAGCGCCCTTTCTGGGTCTTCCTATGCTGGGCAGGAATCTGAGATTATATGGCTTATTGTGGCGGCTAGTCGCGGTTATTTCGACCATCCAGGACTCCCCGTCAAGGAACAGCGCAAGATTCTAGACACTGCGCTGGATCAAATAATGACCAAACTCAAAACCCTTCTTGAGCCAAAGGTCAATATCTATTTGCAGGGGATTGCAAAGAAGTTACTCGATCCAAGCACAACACTCACCTGGAGTGCTATCGGTAATAATTGTCAATCATTTTGCGACTCACTCATTGACATGGATTTATTTGAACCTTTGATTGAGAGGGCTTCGGCGGGTCAAGCTTCGGGGGCCGCATCTCCGTTATATCTCATGAGCTTTGTTTGTCCACAGGACAGCTATCTACGTAGCCAAGTCCGCACGAAATACGATGTTCCTAGCGGACTGATCGAGGAGTACCTTCTTCGCTTCCACTTCGGTCGACATGATGAGGCTGATGTTCTAGACACTCTCCAGGAGTACTGGTACGACTGGGGCGCGTTTGGTGGTACATTATACAAGTACCAGGATCTTTTCCCCTGGGATTGCACGGAAGCATATCAGCAGCACCCCGAATTCTGCGGATCTTGTAATCTCGCTAAGCATATCTGGGCATTTCCATTCGACGCTTGGTCTTTAATCGCGTTACATCTCCAGCGGGGTCCACAAATGTACGCCACAGCGAAGCCAAGCAATCGAGGAATGAAAGATGTTTCCTGGATGCGTGATCGACTTACCGTTCTCACGGCCTTGTCTCTCCTGAACCGAGGAGCGACGGCTATGGCTCGAAGTGAAAAGTTCGTGCAAGCGACCCAATGGCTCCATTCTGCGGACAAGGGTCTTCGACAGGCACACCCGTCACTGACAAGGGTGAAACTGGGAGGGATTCACCGCGCCCAACCCTATAGCCACTATTACGAAGCGGGGACCTACAGTCATTACTTTCTCGCTAAGTGGGCTTCACGACCACGGCCTGAGCAGATTCAGGAATACGAAGCTTTGCGCAACAAGCGTGCCAGGAGGCCCGATGTCGATGGCAGCGGTCGTGGCGGGAGATTCTCCTTACCCAGAACGGAAGACTCAAGAAAGGAACCGACAAATCTAGATTTCCTGGGATTTGAAGGGCTTCTATATGACCTCGATCAATTGCATACCAACGATTTTGTCGATGAGAGCTGTGACGAGGTGGCATCTACTGATGCAGATTATCACGCTGCTCACTCTGCTCACTCTTCCCCTGGCGATGCAGATGGCAATTCTCAATCTCAACCCAGCTCTGGATCGATGACCGGCCCGGAATCATTGTATTCGTCGCATGGTGTCTCCTCGACTGATGACTCCCAGCAAACCAAAGCCAATGAGGGAGCTCCAGTGCAGGAACACCGAGACAAAACGTACCGGGACACCGTGCATCCAAACAGGACCGATTACGAAGCCGGTCATGAACGAGATGTTCAATACACTACCAGAGACGCAGGTACAACAGAGAAAGAGGATACCGAATGTCGCGAAGACTCGTCCAAGCAAATTCAGTCTGGGGTCAATGACGGTTGCCCCCGAGCCTCCTACCAGTACGACTCCACTTTCGCGACGTGGAAAGGTCACTCGAAGTATCAACATCCCGGTCATGTTGACCACACCCGGAAGACTGATTCTGGCGCAGCAAGATCTACTAGAGATGGAGAGGTCCAAACTGGTTCAGGGCACGGATATTCCAGTACAAACTCCTCTGGGTACGGCAGTCGCAATCACGACGGTTGGTCCAGTGGCTATACTGGGGGTTGGAACCCGTATCTCAGCAGCCGCTCTCATAGTAGTGGCAGTAGCTACCACGGTAGCAGTTCGAGTCGTTCATATGGAGGAGGTAGCTCTGGCTCGTATAGCAGCAGTTCGGCCGGAGGAAGCAGCTCATACGGCGGTGACTCAAGCAGTTCGTCTGGCGGCGGTGGCTCGAGCGATTCATATTGGAGCAGCTCATACGATAGTGGCAGTTCGTACAGCTCCAGTTGGAACTGATAAATCTGTTGTGTCGTTGTCGTTGTTGTTGTGTTGTTGTGTTGCTGTGGTTGTTTAGGAGGAACCGGGTTCATACAATACACACATAGTTGCCGCAGTCGCCGTTCGACGGTTGTCGCCGAGTCGCCGACTGTAGCCGTCCCATCCTGCTTTTATTCGGCCGAATTATTACATAGTGTCGAGTACAACGGAAGTTTGTCAGGCGAGATTCAGAGAACGTGACTCACCTTCTTGAAGTTCTCGAAAATACCCTATGTTCTTGGTAAATTCTATTTCTGATTGCGACACATATCAATATATCGACATCTTCATATCACTATTCTGGAACAACCCACTCAGCTTGGTGTATATCAAGTCGTGGGTGGCGTTCCGTCAATTGCCGACTTTCGCCCTTCAAGAACTTTTGCTAAACTATGACCTGCCAAAGCAATTCTACACCCACCGAGCCCTCCAAACATGATGTGGGTTGGAGGAGGGTTGTCCGTCATTTCACTCCCTCGTATGATTGCCTGGTCAGAATGGCTTCTGTGAGACGCAAAAGCTGACCTGGATCCAGCTGGTTTTCTGTCACCATGGGCACCGGAATAGTGTCCATCCTCTTGAACACTCTACCCTACAACGGCCAATGGCTCTACTGGATCTCCGTCGCGATCTTCGCCCTGAATGTCCTGCTCTTTGCGACCGGATGTATCATTACCCTTCTCCGCTACATGCTGTACCCGGAGATCTTCTTCGCGATGATCAGACACCCCGTGCAGTCGATGTTCATCGGCACCTTTCCGATGGGATTCGCAACCATCATCAACATGTTCTGCTTCGTGTGTGTCCCGGCCTGGGGAGAGTGGAGCCGAAACTTTGCTTGGGGACTGTGGATCTTCGATGCTGTCTTCTCCGTGATCACGGCATTGTCATTACCTTTTCTGCTGTAAGCGGTCTTTCACAACCTTTTGTTTCTCTAGCAGTCACGCTCATTCGCATGCGACCAGGATGGCTCACGGGAGTGAGACCCAGCTTTCATCGATGACCGCGGTGTGGCTTCTGCCCATCGTCAGCTGTATCGTTGCCGCGTCGTCGGGGGCCATCGTCGCGGACGTGCTCCCCAACCCGCAGCACGCCCTGTGGACGGTCATCGTGAGCTATATCCTGTGGGGCATCGGCCTGCCGCTCGCCCTCATGGTCATGGTGATCTACCTCCAACGACTCACGCTGCACAAATTGCCCCCCAAGGCGGTGATCGTGAGCGTTTTCCTACCCCTGGGCCCTCTCGGACAGGGCGGATTCGGGTGAGTGAGTGTGTGTCTACGGGATACACGCCCCTATATCGCCCACAACCCTTTTTAACCCCTGGGTGATGGTCAAGAAATGGATGGGCTAACTGAAACCCTTCACCCATGGTGTAGCATCATGAAACTCGGCAGCGCGGCGCAGACGATTTTCCCGCAGACCCAGACACTGACGCTGGACTCCGAGTCCGGGTTTGAGTCAGGGCCGGTGTTCTACACGGTGGGCTTCATGGTCGGCCTGATCCTCTGGTCATTCGGCCTGGTGTGGCTCTTCCTGGCGATTGCCTCGATTGCGCGGTGCCGGAGCTTCCCTTTCAATATCGGATGGTGGGGGTTTACCTTCCCGCTCGGGGTGTTTGCGACGAGTACTTGTCAGCTGGGGAAGGAGTTGCCGTCGGAGTTTTTTAGGGTGTTGGGCACGGTATGTTCTCTCCTCATTCTCCTTGCGTGTTTAAGAATAGGTCCGTTTGGGTGTGAAGGGATGCTGATGTTTTTGGGTGGGATAGATTCTCTCCCTCTGTGTGGTGGTGTTGTGGGGAGTGGTGGGCGTGGGCACGTTGCAAGGGGTGCTGTCGGGTCGGTTGTTCTTTGCGCCTTGTTTGGCTGACTTGAAGGCCAGGGAGGGGGAGGACCAGCGCGGGGTCGATGTGGGATCGAAGAGTGCTTGAGGTTTGTCGGTGTTTCTATTATCTCAGGGAATTTTTTTTGTTTGCACGTGGGTTTTCTAATATATAGTTTGCGCAAATAGGTCTTGATCCTGGAAGAGTTCTGGCATTCAAAGGTTAGTATGGTATCAGTTAGCATCTAGTTTCGAGGTGTGCTGGTAAGTATCCATGCTGCACGCACGCCGAATTGCGCTCAGGAACAGTGACAAACCGCCTGGGTGGGCGAATTAAGCTTAAATGATTAGATCGAACTTTGATGGCCAGGCAGGCTATGTGGTTCCTGTTCAGATAATTTTTTTTAATTGATTACTTATTTTAGGGGTGACAGATTTATCTTTTTTTTTTCTAGGGGGATTTTTTTTGGTGGTGGTGGATGACGATTTTGGTTATTTAGAGAAGGGAATATTTATTTTATTCACCCTGCGGGAACCAGATTATAGTGTTTGGTAGTAATGCTCGGGAGTTCGGGACCCAGAAGACGCTAGGACTTCATTGTTTTGTATTGCTGTCAAGACGTCACTGGCAGGTAACTTATAGGTTGTCGGCTTCGAGGGATACATCGTACCTACGTAGTACTCCCTTTAATTGTTGATATCGAGAGGTTGTCTCTGGACTGCATGTTAGTATACAAGTAAAGATGCCATCATCTTACCTAGTACTCCTAGTGTGTACCAATCTTTGTCGTCATCTCGATTTGTGCCCGACCAGTCCAAGCCCGACACGAAGCCCGGCCTGTGACTGGCCAGCCCGGCGGCGAGTCACGTGTCGCTCCACTTCCCCCAAATAAAACCGCCCCCTCCAAGCAAAAACTGAAAATCCCAAATTTCCCCAGAGAGCAGAGAAAAAAAATAATATAAAAGAGGGAAAATCAGAAAAATTAAAAATTAAAAAATTTAATAAAATAAAAAAAGGGACGGAGTTCCATCCACAACCCCAAACAAATCATCGCGCGCGACCATCTCCAGACTTCACGATCCATTCCAAGATCCCCCAAGTATCTCTATCTCGATTGATTGATTGATTGATTGACTGCTTGAAGAGTGATTTTGAGATCACTATTATCTCTTGTGGTGAGTGCAGAGTGGAGGGAATCTCTGTCCTTATTATTGTCATTGCCTTGTGGGAGAGAGACCGACTGTTCACACCTTGCATTCAGCTTGTTGGGCATTCCTCTATTTTTCCCTCCAGCTTTCCCTTCCCTTTCTCCTCCCCCCCCTTTTTTTCAGCTCTCGCTTTCTTTTTTTACCCTTTCTTTTTTTTCTCTCCCCCTTCCCAACCGAGTGCGCGGCTGGTCTTTGTGGATCGACCGTAGTTTCCCCGGGCAGAGAAACGGCTGTTGTCATTACTGTTAGCCTTACCAGCAAGCTGCTTGCCTTAGCTGCCTGCTTGCCTGCTTACCTGCCTACTTGCCTGCTTGATCTGCTTGCTTGCCTGGTACTGACCGTACAGTACCCCGTACCGCGCCCTTCTACTAGTAGCCTGACAGCCTGTGGCAGCCTGAGGCCCTTCGTTCGTCTGTCGCTTCCGGATTGGGGATCGAGCCGGGATCGTTGCTTATTCCACATTTAATTGTTATCGTCACAGCGGCCGCTTTTCTCATTTTCTATTTTCCCAGCCCGAGAGAGGAAAAAAAAAAAAAGAAAAGAGAGTTGCAGACGCGCCCCCGTGCGCGTGTCTGTCGTCAACTGTTCCGATCCTGTATTGCGGTTACTGCTCAGGTTCGTCCATCTTTCTCTCTCTTTCTCTCTCTCTTTCTCGCTGTCATCGGGCTTCCGACCTTCCACCTCCGTTGTTAAAGAAGAGCTGGTGGAGTTTTGGTCTGGAATTGGCTTTCTCGCCACCCCTCCAGGGCCCCCCCCCCCTCCCTCCCCCCTCCCCTCCTTGCCCCCGGTGTGTGAGGGTGAGGTCAGTCCGTCCCGTCCAAGTCACTCTCCATCGCGGCACGTACAGTACGTACTCGTACTCACTCATACCCCCCCAAAGTCACCCACTCCGCCTTGGTCAGCAAACACCACCGTCACCACCACCACCACCATCCACCCCCACAGACCGCCCGCCCGACCGCCCCTGTAACCGTATCGCTTCCTGCCGACGCGGTGGTCACATGTTCGTCGCCTCCCCCCCGAGTATTATCACTCTGGTTGATTTGATATCAGCACCACCACGTTCATCCTATTTTCCTGGGAAAATAGCCACG